CCATTTTTGCTTTGATTGACGATGGACACATTCCCAAAGAAAATAACTGATTTCCCAGAATGTGCCAAAAACTGAGCTACTAAGGAATTCATGTTTCCCCTCACAGCTTTGTGTGAATGAATGATGCTCTTTAACCAGCTGTGACACTGGACCGGCCACTATGTGAATCCACTGTTCCCAACATGACATCTGAACCAAAAGCATTGCCTCCATTAATCCAGCAATATGATGGGCGGTGGAGCACTGCTGCATTAAGAGGGTGGGAATAACAGAAATCCCATAATCCCATTACTGTTAACCCCGTGAAGAGGGAGAAGAGAGGGTGTGTGTGTGATAAGTCATGAGAGAGAGAGATCAAAGAAGACGACATGAAGAAAATAAAAAATGTCAAAATCAAAATAGAGAGCATGTGCGTGTGTGCGTACTCTGGTCTGCATAGTTCTTGATCTTGAGCTCCAGTTGTCGGGAGTGCGATTCCATTCTGTCCACATGGTTCTGCAGGTCCTTCTTCTCCTGTTCATGGGTGTCCTCAAACTCAATGAACTTCTACTCACAGAGAGAGAGAGAGAGAGAGACTGGTCAGACTCCCCAAAACTTAATCTAAAATCCATCATTTCCAATTGATAACCTGATGCAGTCTAAAGTGATGATCTGGTCATAAGCTCCCACAGCTGAATTCTGCAAAAGTCTTCTGTTAATGTTACTGAATAAATGCACCACTGAGTATTGTTTTCACTATCTTTATATTTAATCAAGCACCATAATGCAAGTGTGCTTTATTGCAGACTTAAAGACCAAAGAAAGATGTTTTGGTTTTTTTTATTTACTTTTTCAGTTGGCAAAATCGAGAAAACAAAGCCAGAGATTCTCTATTTATAGTTTCTCAAATGAGAGAATGAGAGAACACGTTTCTTTTGAAATATTTTGACTTAACAGCACAGGCTACATGTGCTGTACACTGGTGAAAATGAGTATAAATGGCTCTGAATCTTGACAACAGGGGCAGGATCTTAAACTTATTGCCTCATCAGGAAATTCCGGTTGCTCCCATTTTCCTCCTAGCCAGACCTCTGAATGGGAGTGTGTTTGTTTGTGTGTCAGTGTCCACATCCTGTCCAGCTGAGGCCCTAAAGTGGCTGCCCTTCTTCCTCTGGGCACATGAGAGTTACTGTGCTTTGACACACAAACACATGTTACAGACTGTTTAGCACTAAACTACAAAATGAAACACATATTGTGTCCCAGTTCAGTTTGTTTGCTCCAGATCTGAAGTAACCACTCAAGGGTTTTTACTCAGGTTCACCTAATTCATATGTCAAAATGATCTAAATTCAAATCAAACATTAAAATGCTGCAACAATGGATTATTCCTTGGGATTATGCCCAAAATTATTTGAGCAAAAATACCCAAGATTCAGCGATTTCAGCTTCTTGAATTKTATTTATTTATTTATTGTTTAATTTAGCTGAAAGTTTTGGGGTCAGAAAAAACGAGGCATCTTCTGAGTTATGCAACAAAAAAATAGCAACCAATGAGAAACGGTTTTAATGGAAGGAACAGCTGGCAAGGTGCCTCAGGCTCAATCGTAATCAATGACTTCCACAGTCGTCGATCTCACAAGAAAACAACACAATTGTATTTTGTGTCTTCCACTTTAACTTTCATCAGACATTATAGGAATCAGGGCAGCTAAAATATTGTTGTTTTTGTGATTGTATATCCAGCCAAAGAATGACTTGTAGTAAAATTCATATTCAGTTGAAAAGCGATGAATGGGTAGGTCAACATCTCATCTGGAAGCAGCCCCCCAAGTAGAAATGTGACACCCTTGGACAATAAAATTCAAGACAAAAAAAGGGGGGAAAGAAATTGTAAATGCAAACTGAGGAGCACTCCCTTCCTGGTAGTTTCTGACAAAGGAGCAAATGACCTGGAAGTAATCCCTCGCCTCTCCAGCAGGCTCACTCCTCCTCAGGATTGTGGACAAAGAATCTTGGCCAGGACAAATCCAACAAACACTGGTTTAATGACTACATGTATATATTTGACAGTGTGGTACTACACAAGTGCAGGATGCTACTGTCAGTTTGACCGATTGTGTGTCTGGTCACTGTGCTGCTGCTATGTCCCTGTATGTACACAGGGGTCCCTGCTGTCCTGATGCCTTTAGTCAAAGAACCGATCTGGGACAGATGGTCTGAGTCACATCACATCGCCCTTCATACAGAGGCTGAGGGCCAGGAGGCAGAAAATCTTTGACACACATGTGCAGCGTGTCATCATCTGAACAGACACATTTACATGGACACCAAGGGTCCAATATTAACCAGATTGAGACACAGCCATGTAAACAGTATTTTCTGACTACCTTAACCTAAACAAGGTTTTTGTTTCCCATCGAAAGCAGGATTATGCAAAAACTATGGGAGGGATTACCTCGAAACTTGGTGGTGCATGATGCAGTACAGGTCAGGGAAGAACCCATTAAATGTTGGTGCAGATCCAGATCATCGAGCGAACCAAGAAATGTTTGCGACATAAGACGTTTTTCATAATTTTCCCTGTAAGTCTTATCTTGTCTTCTCTTTTTTCTTGTTTGATTTAAACAATTGTACTTTTGTGAAGCACTTTGTTAATTTGCATGGTAAAAGATGCGGTAGCAAGTAAACAGCTCGACTTTTAATGTTGGACAAAAAGTGGATTGAAGACTTGCTGGCAGTGCAGGGATTTGGTAGTAGTGGTGGACTCTATATGATCATAAAGCTGTGGTGGGAGGTTTTAACACATTTATGCTTAGAGCAGCTCTTTAACAAGCAAATCTGCCATCCCGTCCGAGCTCCCACTCTCTGGAACCATCTCCCCGAGGAGATCCATCCGGCACACTCCTTATTCTCTTATACATCTCTCTTGAAGACACATCTTTATTGGTGTGCCTTCTCCTGGTTCAGATCCATTTTAATCATGTTACAATGTTTTATTCTATTTTTACTCTTTCCTCATCAGTTTCATTTTTTTCTGCATCTGTCCTAGTGATGTTTTCACTCGTGTGTTTCATCTAAATAATAGGAATTATTGTTTTCTTTATCCTTTATATCGAAATAATCACATCACATTGGGAGCGGGTCCCTCTCTACGTCGGGGGCCAACGCTAGATGTCACTAAATTCTACACACTGAACCTTTAAAATAGTTTCTTGAAGTTTTCTTTTTAACAGTTTCCTATTGTTTGCCTTCAAATTTTCATTTTTACCTTGTCAAGCACCTTGTGACTGTTGAGAGAAGGTCCTGTAAGTTTATCAGAAATATTAACCTTATCATCCATCTTTCTTGCTGCATGTCTCACTCTACTTTTGTTAAACTTATGTTGCAGTGATGGCCCAAAATGCTGAGTCACTTCACCTGCAGCGACTTCACTGTTATCTGAAGCAATGGGGATGGATTGGCAGATTATAGGTGATCGATTATAGGTGTGTTTGTTTTGTTGGTCAGGATGAAGCTGCTGTTGAGGAGCTCACATGCTCGGGGCAGGGATCCAGTGTTGTCATGTCACTGAGCATCCACTGCCCGCACCAGGGCCCCTGTTCGAATCTGACGTGAGCCACGACGCTGCCTTGTTTACATCCCCGCCGAGCACCGTGGATGCTGCTCGGCCACGTGTGCGGGTTAATTCACCGCTGATGGATGCAGGAGGAGGGAGGGGACCGCCTGAAAAAGACTCCCTCCTCCAGGACCACGGAGGTGTTGGACCATCACTCACCTCCTCCGCGTGCTTCCTCAGCGCCTTCTCCCGCTCGTACTGGGTGATGAGCTGCTCGTTGTCCTCCTTCAGCAGCTCCAGCTCCACTTCGTGCTCCTGGTTCTCCGCGAACACCGAGTCCAGGTTCTCCAGCACGGCCACCACCAGCGGCATCAGCTCCTTCACCACGTCCTCGTCGTACTTCCCGATGAGCCGCTCGAACTCGCGGTAGATGGAGTTGGCCAGGCCCGACACCCGCTCCGACATCATCGCGGACGTCCCCGGGTCGTCCTGGTACACGACTCCGTCTTCCAGCTCCATTTTCCCCGCTGTCCTCTCCCCCGCTTTCAGCAAACAGCACCGGTGTGGGCAGCCCCGCGTCACCCCGCCACTATGGACACTTTTATCCGCCGAGTGGAAAAGCAGCGTTTCTTTACACGGGCCGACTCATCGAGGACACACCGCGACCGGACCCACGACGCGAGACGAGCTACGTGGATGTCCTCCTCTCCCTCGTCAAATGCTGCGTTCACAGGCGCCTGTAATGCTGCGTCTTCTCAGTTTCACTGATGGACCACGTTGAACAACGACAGTTCCCTGGGGCTGGGAATCGCAGGGTATCTCGCAGAGGGGGCAGTAGTAGCCTGTACACGTTATTTACTGTAGTACAGGTACTTAATGTCAWATTATACGTATTGATTAAATCTTTGTGTCCAAGCACAGGCCCTGAAATGTACTCAAGTAAAAAGTACTATAATAATAATAATAAAGGGTATCTGTGCAAAGCAAACTGAGACTCAGGTCACATTMAAATATTTCAACACGGTTTAAATTTTACTTCAAATCAAATACAAATAAATACTACAAACTGGAGTTAAAGCTAGGAAAGATTATTGAGCATAAAGAATTGTCCTGGAGGAAATGTGGAGGAATAAAGTATTCTTCATTTAAATAATTCAGGGATAGTGAATGTTTTGTTGCCCTGCTTTGTTGTTGACATTATCAGCGATGTTGGCTGATTCTTCACTTCCTTCCATGTTGGTACTCCTTGTCATGGACATATGCACTGAGCCTYTGTTTYATCTTGATTCRTCCATTACACTGTGTTGAGTATGTTCTGCATGATATGCACCAATAGATACTCAGCAAGGAATCGTCTCTTCTGTGTTATTGTCCATTTAGGTCAAAGTCTGTGTTAATATTGGGAAGGCAGCGCTCGACGATGCAAAAAACAATCACAAAGTGCCCCGGAGAGGAAAAGTGCAGGATTTATGTATTTATTCACACAAACTGAGATGAAAAATGTTTACATAGGGACAAACAGACATAAAGTCTTTATTTAGTGCCTCTTTYAACTTTAACAAACACACTGTRCCTTTTCAATGTCCACATGTCATCATTCCAATGTAAAAACTGACACTGACAATTAGCAGCAAAACCTGTTTAGACCACTGTATGTTTKAATTATAATATAAATGTTTGTGCTAGCAATTGTCATTAATTAGTCTATTGGTCTCTGCAGCAAAATAATTTGCAGAGACCAAGCAAGCGAAGCAGAACTCATTTATTAGAGCAGGTGATGTGTTAAATACTGGGAGTCAACAAAAAGACGAGAGCTTTTGAATMACTCCTTTCCGGCGGCACGTGAAGGCACCATCACAACAGCTGAGATGTTGACCAGATCACGTGATGACGTCACACCAAGCTAACGACGTGATGACAGAGCATTGTCCTGCTATTGTGCAAAGTCTCAATGAGTGAAATGATATAAAGACATTAATACTTCATTTATTCTGTGAAATTGTTTTGATTATTGATTCATTGATAGGAGGCGGCATTAGAGAATGAAACAGATGCTGTTAAGTCACATTGTAACAATAATTMAAAATGCCTTTAAATGAACTTTCATCGTACATGAAAATGATCTCAAGACAACAAACTGCAGACATTATAACAGTCTGCAGGATTAGTTTACCCTTCTAAGCATATATTAGTAAGTCATCATTGATTATATAGTAAGGTCAAGACCTTAGAAACTATAGAGAAACCCAACGGTTCCCACTGTGACTGTAGCTGTGTAACTTTACTGTCACTGAACATGAAATCACCTACTGAGTATTTGCCTCAGGGTCATTCATGTTTCCAGGTTGTTGAGGAAGTCTTCTCCAAACTGAACCATCTGTCTCAGTGCGCACACGATCGCAGCGCTCATTCCTTCATTTAACTCAGTTTCCTCATCGTAGTTCTGCACAAGGAAGATGCAGTTCAGTGGGAGGCCCAGCAGCATGTGGAATTTATCAACCTAAGTAAMAACATTTATGATGATCAGTAATCGTACAGCGATGAACAAACATGACATATATGCTGAAAAATGACATTGTACAATAACTCCAAACTGTACCTGTTCCTTCAGGTATCTGCTCTTATAGATATTSCTTGAGTCCCCTGCAGCCTYGGGACAGGCTTCATCAACTTTGGTGAGAATAGCCAGTTGGGGAATATCTGTCAATAGAGAAACCTGATCAGTATTTCACACATTTGTTTCCTGGTATTTTAATTCATAGAATCCAATGTGACACTATTAGTCCACACAGAGAAATAATTGTTGTGCACTCACCCAGTTCACTGGCTGCCAGTCTGACCTCTCTCATCTTCATCACAATCTCATCACTTAACACAGACACTGAGCTCACAGGAATAACACACACCAGAACATGAACTTTGTCTTCCACAGTGGGATGTGAGTTGTAGCCAATGTCCCCCTCCATCAGTCCTCGTTCAGGGTTGAACTGGAAATCAATGAAATACAATCCAATAATGTTTCATGTAATGTGAAGTCTCTCACACATACACACATCATATTGTTAATGTGACACACATTCCTGCCATTATTTCACAATATTTAACTTATGTACACAATTTGCCAATAAAGGAGAG